GATGCCGACCTATGCGTCGTTGACCTTGCGTGACGCCACTTATGACGTCGTTAAGGTCATAGGAGTTTTTCGTCAATAACTCCCGAGTCCCGGTCACGTTTAGCTAGCGAGTCGGGAAAGCCACCAATTGACCAGAGACCTGCCAGATCGACGAATATGCAATATGTCCTCATTTGACCAATTGTGTGACCTGACCTCGACGTGAGGTCAACACCTCAAACTGACCTCAACCAAAAAACGCATATCCTTCGAGGCACGCGAGCATGGAGGACAATATGGTGCCCAAATCGCGGTTTGCGACCACTTTTGTTTTGGTGGTTATCTACCAACATCCCTACCTTGAGGCACTTGCCTGACCTGAGAGTCCAACGGTTTCGGGGACAAACCGCTGCGTCTCGAAACGGCGCACACGACCCGGTTTTTCCGTAAGTCTCTAATTGAAATAATGGCAAAACGGCCGATGTACCTTGCGACTCTCCCACTTCACTGCATCCTTAAATGAGTTAAGAAAACAGATGAGCGCCTTTTTTGTCGTACGCGTTCATTGACACACGTCAGCGGGTGGCGATTAGCAATGGAACTCGCAAAGTCAAGTAAAACAAACAGCCAAACAGGAACACATGTTGCAAATAAAACAGTTCGGATGCACACCACCGACGTCCTAGCATACAATCGTGGATTCACAGCCGGGCTGCGTCCCCCATCTACACTTTGATCGCCATCGCGAGGGAGCAGCTCGGGCAAACATTACAACTGTCTCGCACTCTGCATCCATTACCCGCTAGGATTGCACTGCATGGGTCGGTAACCGTGCCGCGACACAGCCGACTATGGAACACCGCGTCCAAACGCGCCACCGTCTCAGATCAGGTTGGGCAGGCCTCACTGGCACACCACCGCAATGCTACCAACTACAAGTGAGCGGATCCTCGATGGTACTGTTGACGCTTGCGGAACGCCCTGCTTGATAGCTGCTGTGGGGGCCTGGGCGGCGCGCCACCTGACGCCTTCCGTTTCAAGGCAGCCTCCTCCAGCGCCTCTGCGTGGTCACGTCTGCGGAGGCTTAATGTTCTCCAGCTCGCAATCCAACGCTCGTTGATGTCTCCGCATGGAAAGGTCTCCTGGGAGTTCACGGAGTCGAACCAAAGACCGTGAAACTGCTTTGTGACGCCAACGAGGAGACAGTGCATGTAGTCGACCGGGAACGACCTGACGATGTCAAACTGCGCTTGCGGGGGCAGAAAAAGCAACCGGGATGCTCCAACAACGCCAAGCTCGTGACTACCGCTGGAGCTGCCTTTTGGCCACATTTTAGTACGCTGTCATGCGACCGAAGAGGTACACCAGGCTCGTAAGGGTAAACCCTGCTAAAGCCATTACCACGATGGACCACGCCACCTTTTTGAATGCACCACGTGCATCCAGGTGTACCATTGAACTGGTGCAACGCCTGCACCATGCATCTGGGCGGCGAGTCACACAAGGCTAGCAGGGGATCACCTTGGTGACCCTCTCTTTTGAACCCAGCGACCACTTTATTCCAACCGTACTGAGCTTTGTCAGTTCATCCAAGAGCGGGCGAAAGAAGGTGGACCAAAGCGGTTTTTGCGGGCCGTACCAAATACCTCCTACCAATATCTTCTCGTTTCTGACATTTGGCGAGGCTCTTTGACGACAGCCAAAATTAGTTACATCGTTTTGTTTGATGTTTTGTGGAGCTGAACGCCATCGAAGTTCCAGGCCAATGGCAAACACGAAAGGTCACCTTTGCTTAGCAGTTTGTGGGACCGGTACAACTCTCCATCGATGACCTCTGTGTACATCTGATCACTTCCTACGTCGCCTTGCCTTGTCAGGTTTTCCCCAACAAAACCACTTTCCAGAAGGTCTTTTACCTGTTCCTCAATGGATGCATGCAAAAGTCCTGCGTATTTCGCCATCATACGTCTTTTGGAAGCTACGGTTTTACCTGTGGGTTTTACCTTCGGTATCGGCGATGGGGGAATGGAATTTGGCGGTAGCACTGACGGAACTGGCGCTCATCGCCCCAACAACTGCTCTTGCAGCTGCACATTCTTAATATATCAAGATCAAAAGGCGCCTTCTTGACTATTCAAAATAAAAACCCCGCTGCCAGGAACATGCCTTTCGACTTTTACAAGGAGCAACTTATCCAACTTAGTCTAGGGCTTTCTGACACAACAACGTCCTGGCGAAGGCCATCGGAGTATACTTTAACATTGAATGTTGGGATGGCTGTATTCGTCTTTAAAGGGACCCTCCCACCTTAACATTAGATTAAAGTTGAGATAGCGAAAATGGGGTCCCTGGCTCACAATTACCGGTTTCGGCACTCACAACATCGAGAAATGCCTTAAATCGTAAATATTGAATTTCAAAATTGCAGCATTTTGATTCAGAGGGGCTAATGCATGGGAATACCCCTCTGAATCTGTGACGTCAGCGCAGATATCTAACGATTTTTAAATGTTTGACTAAAACGTTTTGTAGCACGCGGTGGTAATATGCCGCTTTGCGCGCAACAAGTGCCGCACTTTCAGCTGCCAAACTATTGCTTCCAAATAAAGTCGCTAGGAACAGCGGAGATCCCAAAAAGTAAACAAAAGTAAAAGTCTAATATCTTGAAAACCGGTGAATATTTTTCGGTGAAATTGGGTAGATATTCGTTTTCGCTCTTTCTGAACCGAGCGACATCACTTTCATGCCAGTTCATAAACTTTTTTGAAGGTGGGAGGGTCCCTTTAACGCGCCTTGTTTGTAAATAAAAATAGCTACTATAAGCCTGCCAACTGATAAACGAACTCAAAAGCTTCCCAATGGTAGATACCCCAACCGTAGCAGCGAACACGCTGCTGTCGTCCACTGTCGCTGAAACGCGGGTTTCGCCTTCGCAAGACGACCGCGTTTTCGGTTCTGACCGATCTGTACAGTTTTGGCTGCCTCGGGCACGGGCGGCACATTACGAAAATAGGCCACCTCAAATCGTGCTTGCGGTTGCTGTCTTTCAGATACACTGGACTGGTACATCTAAAGTCACCAATGAGTTTCTCTAAGAACTCCATCTGCAAGCGTAGTGGTAGCCACGTCTTCGTGAAGTTCCTTACTTAACCGTCCCTTTTTTGCTTCAGTTGATGCCGCTTTTCGAAGAACCTCGGCACTTGACGCTTCGGTAAAATCCTCTCCACGGAGGTTTTCGTCGGACCTCTTGTTAAGGAAATAATTTCGCACATTGTACGCGACACTGTTTATGACATCGACAGCCTCTTTTTTCTTGGATGGCCTGTCAGACGTTGTCTTGCAGGAAGACCTTCATGGTTTGGTACTCCATTCCGAAGGACATGCGGCAAAACGGCTTCTGTGCCAGTGCTAGGCACATTGGTTATCCACAGTTTTGCCGTGCAACCACAACCTTCGCCCTTGCACTAGGCGCATATCCGAAGGTAACATTCTTGCTTTCTTCCTGTGCCAGCGTGAGGTGACATGCTCGAGTGGGCAAAGGTGCCAGGTGCAAGGTCGATCAAGCTGTTCCTAGAGTTTTTTTTTTAAGCGTTTGTGCTTGTCCAGCTTTGGCACATTTTGAAACCGGAGGGATTGATTAGGTCACGCCACTCACTCAGCTGAAATTTATTGGATTGTCGGCGTTTTGGGCCTTGACATGATACTATAGTAGTCTTATTTACGGTAGCGACACCGCCATAACCACAGCCATTTGGGCGGTCTACAGTTACACGACTGGGCTTGTATCCTGGAATGACCAGTAGGCGGTTGGGGGTGGTTGGGCGCAGCCAGGTTTCAGATAGCAACGTGACGTGGTTGTGACGATCGAGCTGACACGTCAAGTCCGGTTCTGACTGCCGAAGATCGGAGCGGATGGTAAGCGGATGATGATCGTATGGTAATCGTATGGTGAGCGTGGCTAGAGAAAAAAAAAAAAGAAGATAAAAATCTCTAGGCCCGATACGATCGTGACGTTCCACCTCAGGCGCTGCAAACAGTGCATATATTAATGTAACCAGTGAATTCATTGACAGTGATACTGTCAAGTTGTGTGGCCATATTGTTGAATTGCTTGTGCTATTTCAGAGTGCATTGGGAAGCATATCGTAAGTAACACTACAGTCACATTTTACCACATAACATAAAAGGGCTTGAGCCAGGTAGGCTCCTACACAGTACACAGTAATACATATGAGGTGAAAAGTTCACAGGCAAGTCACAGTACCCAAAACAACTCATGAAACAACAACTATCAACAACTTATCAACTAGATATAACTTGTATTTCCCTGCAATGATGCAACTGTGATCTAGGACTGTATGTTATAGGTAATGCGTACACAGAAATATGTATACCATTAGTACATACCATCAACACCATCTCCAAACAGCCTCGCGAGCTCCATGAGTTATGTTTTTTATGTTTATCTTTGTAGGAAGGATGTTTGCAGTCGAAGAGCCACGTATATTCCTTGATGGAGTCGATGAGGCGCTCCTCAGCTTGTTCGGACCACTCAAAGCCGGTCATCGCCCACAAAATCTGCAAAATGAGGGTGTATGTACATTAACAGATCACAAAACCAGCTCGAGCGCCTCTAATAGAAACACTCATACCAAATAACTACCAGAAGCTGTGTCTAATCATACCCATGAGCATGTCTGGATGAGGTGACATGAGGTGAGGTGACACTTGAACAATTACTTGACTGACAAGCTAGTGTGACGTTTTACAAGAATTTAATTGAAGTTAACGGTACCTAGCACAGGGAGCACTCTGGACAGCTCAACACTTTTGGTCACTCAGACCGGCCGCCCGCCACCACTCAGCTCGACACGAGAAGGGGGAACACAGCGCCCGCTGGCGGTCACCAGACGAATCAGTCTCAGCTGATCAGTCAAAATCTGGGTCACCGGGCCAGCACGCCGCGGCTGACCCACAATACTAGTGATGCAAGTTTTGAGCTCACAGGCCAAGCATTGGGCTCAACTTCGGGCCCGGCCGGGGTTTTGCGTGGCCAGTCTGGCGCGCATATTTTCCCGCAGCCGGTATACTCTGAAGTGGCGCCACAGCGGCGAGCGGCGGAGACTGGCGTCCACGATGCCTGCCTGGTTGGCGTGCCGGACGACAGGCAGAACCTGCCGGAAGTCGCCGCCCAGCACCACCACCTTGCCGCCGAACAGCTGATCGGACCCCGTCAGGCCGCGCAGCGTCCGGTCGAGGCCCTCGATGTGGTGCCGGTGCGCCATCGGAGCCTCATCCATCACGATGAGGCGCGCTAGCCGGATCAGCTGGGCGAGCTCGCTCTGGGCGGGGATGTTAAAGATGGCGGTGACGTCCGGTCGCAGAAGAGCTTTGAAGCGGGAGTGAAATGTCCTCCCGCTGTCCAGCAGCGTGGTGGCTATGCCACTGAATTCGACGGCAAGTGCAACCAGGCCCTTGGCTCGCACTGCAGAGAGGAGCAGGTTAAATGTGAATGTTTTGCCAGTGCCACCTGTCGCGTCCAAGAATAGGGCGAGCGGCTCCTGGCCGTCGACCACGGCCAGCACCGTGTCCACCGCCTGGCGCTGAGCTGGTAGCAGGCCAGGCGGCCGCTGGTCGACGGTGCGCTGAAGGTCAGCACGGTCAAAGTCGACCTCCTCCCGTGTAATGGGAGGCAGGCGCCGCAGCTCCTGGACCCCCTCAGAGGCGGCGGCCGCTGCTCGGTGTTCAGCGGGCACGGGCGACAGACCGAAGTATTCCAGCGTCTTGCCGGCCCGCTGGATGGAGTCACTGATGCGCAGCAGGATCATACACGTAACCGTCTCCGGCGGCAGCTCTGGGTGGCGGCGGGCGAAGTCTTCTCCCATGGCCGCCTGGAACCGGTGGAGGAGGGTCGCGGGATCGGAAGTGCAAACACATCACGACATTGCTTGCAGATATTTCATATTGTGCATTTGTAACACCGTAACCTACACCGCACCAACATGCCAAGGCCACCGATACGGCCATGCTACCAAAAGCGTCCCTGTCGCATTCATTTTCTTCTTGTCGCATCTACTTCTATTTGTACCACAGTGAGCGGTTCACTGCCTGCACGACCTGAGTCATTTGTGAGGGGCCGGCCTGGTCACCGAGCGCACACTCACACTTAGCGTGTGGTCCAGGCTTCCGTTCGCTGCTGCTGAAAGTGTTTAAGGGACCCAAGGTACCGCACGAGCATGGGGGCAGGTGTGCATAATTAGGTACCTCGTCCGACGTTAAAGACTTTCTGAACTGACGAGTGAAAATCACCACCGACGCCTGAAGCTGGTCCCGATCTGGGGCGTCCGAGTCGAGCTGTTTCCATAGCTCTATGGACCGTTATATGGCAATGGCCAGTGGCCACCAGGTCGGCCCTGGAGGAAGGCGTGAGATTGTGCCGGACTTTTCTGTTCAGATATATCGCCTACAATGCTTTTGCCCTTTTCTCTTTGTCCAGGTTGGAGAACTTCAGCGAGCCGTTTTTGTCGCGCTGGATTGAATGACAGGACGTTATGGTATTGAGTATTGACACACCACAACGAACTAGTCGAGCTGCCTTTTGCACATAAACTTGCAGCTCCGTACCGCCGTGCCTCCGATCGGTGACGCGCAGGTAACGGCGGAACAGATCGATCATCACAAACCTGTACCTGGCAAGATTCACCATCGGCGGCCGCTGGAGAAGCGGCACTTCTCCAGTGAGATCCGCAGGCGGTGCTGGTGGAGAATGTTGAATACTGTATCCAGGTCCCGGCCGTGCTGGTCTCTGTCGGGTGAGAAGATCAGTATGTCGTCCAGGTAGATGAAGACACAGTGGATCTGGCGAAACAGCTGATCCATCACCCGCTGGAACGTGGCGCCACTGTTCCGCAATCCCAGAGGGACATACAGGTACTCGAAGGCGCCGAATGGAGTGGTAACAGCCGTCTTCTCGATGTCTTCACGAGCCATCGGGATCTGGTGATAGGCCCGGAGGAGGTCGACTTTAGAGAACACCGTCATCCCATGCAGACGCGTGCTCAGGCTGTGCAGGTGTGGAAGAGGGTAGCGGTCTGGCTTCGTCTGAGCGTCGGGGTCACCAGAATGTGGGTCTCAGGGTAAATAGGGGCGTTTTCGGAGGAAAGGAAATTACCCACAATGAAAGAACAAAATAAACAGCGAAACGATGGTTAGATATGGGTTAAACTGGGAGAAAAACGTGAGAAATAAAACTAGGAACTCGTCGAAATGCTCAGCCTCTCTGACACTCTGCGTACAGATACTAAATTTATATTTTAACTGAAAGCACGTGCCAAAAACCATAGAGATCAAAAACGAACAGGTCAGAACAGGAAACCAACGGGGACGGAACTACACAGCCAAAAATTAAAACACTTTTACATAATCAAAAACGAATCGAGTATATGGAAATGGCGAAAAGTCAATCTAGAAATTGCAGCAAATTAAAGCAAGGACAGATATTAAATACGGTTGAAAAGTATAAAACACAAGTGACTATATTAACGAATTTACAATAATATAAAAGAGGAAAACAAACGTTCATGAAAAATAACATAAACACTGCGCGAGGCGGCGATTGGCGGCGCAAAGCGCGGCCGGGCTGGACGGACACGCCGCAGCTAAATAACCCGCGCCGCGCCACAATAGCATGCACCGATTGTACAAAGCGTGTGTTTGGTGTTACGATCACGTCCATAAAGAAAAAAGAGAGGACTGAACTTTGTGCTGTCGTTCACTGCGGTCCGATAAGCAGACAATATTGACGGTAATTTTGTATCCCAGTCGCGATGAGTTCGATCAACAAGTTTGGCCAGTGGCCATTCTATTGGCATCGTTGTCGATATATGCTTGGGAGCAACCGCTGCACTCAAGAGCCGGATGAGACCTCCCAAGGTTCTCGAAGTAACATAAGCGTTCTCCGCTGAGCACCACACTTTCGGAGACCCGGAGTCGAGGCAATATAGGTTAACTTATCTCGGAGCCATCTTGTCTCCTTAGAGAACTTTCACCAATGAGAGCATCTATTGTTCTCAGAGACTAGTCCAAGTTCTCAGTGGAGAATTTATTGTTGCTCCATCACTCTCCACTGAGATAAATTATCTAAAAAAAAGAGACTAAGAACTATCGCACAATATATCAATCGCTCTCCGAGACCACAGACAATGCTCGCTCGATTATTCAGAGACCATTGCGTGGTCTCCTCTCTAACCTTTCGTTCTCATCCGAGAGTTCTTACCCACCAACACGGCCGACGTTCGTTCTCTTCCGAGAACTCTTACACACTACCATCACAAATACTCTCGCTGCTTTCGCCGTCCTCCCTCAAAACAATGTATATGCGCATTTGCAAACAATGTAATGTAAACAATGTAAACAATAATGCACACATGCAAACAATGTAAACAATAATGCAAACAATGTAATGCAGCCCGCAAGCCCCGCACTATATAGCGAGCTTTTCTCCACTGAGAAAAGGCACCCGAAGACCAAACAAACCACTTCAATGGATGGCGCCGAGTTGGTCGGTAGGTAGTGCGGCATGCTCCGCTTGTGTCCGTCGCCGGACGCACGCTTCTGTTTCTTCGACGCTCTCTGGATCTCGATCTCCTCCGCCTGCGAACGGTAGCGTGCTTTCTTGAGCTTGGTTCTCAGACGCTTTACCGGCCGAGCTATACCGATACAAGGAAGCGTCGCATCAACGACAATCGCACTGTCGTGCCGTGTAGTCCATGCCAGGACGTCACGATACCCCCAAACAGCCACGGTCGAGACAAACGATACCCCTAAACAGTCACGGTCGAGACAAACGGCACGGCAGCCGCGCACGCAGAACGGTTCCCGTCACGTACCGCCGCAACGATCTACAGCGGCAGACGCAGCAGCGGCCGCGCAAAATTAACAAAACCAGCGAGTCGCTGTCGCCACACGAGCGGCGAGTCTGGCGAGTACCGCGCCAAACCATCCCGCAATAGTGACAAGGCATTATCCTGAACACGCGCACAATCACGCTCTAAGTCAATCGACACACCAAGAAACGTACATGCGACGGAACGTGAACTGATTTATTGAAATTAATACACAACCCAACACTAGTGAGAAACGCAGCGATGCCATTCAGCGTCCTTGGACAGAAAAAGAAAATCATCTAAATACGCCAAACACCTGACGTTAAATCTCGACTCTTACAAGTTCACTGAAAGCATCTGCTAGGTACTGCATCTCCGAAGGAGCTACTTTAGGGCCCATTGGTTACAGAGAAAAGATATACGTTTTACCATCATACAAAACACCAAAAGGACGTGTGGAACGTGCGAGAAGAATGTGATAAAATCCATCTTTTAAATCAATCTTGATACCGGAATAAAACCCCCAAAACGATAACTCTAACGCATCCACAATAGACGGCAAAGAGCGCAAGAGGGGCGTAAGCACTGACAAATCGTATACCAGTCTGGCCACAGTCGCACTTTTTGGCACAACAAAGTCTGTAGTAGGTCAACTAAACAGCGACTCGCTCGCGACTGGTGCCGACGGCGATGGAGATTCTTCGTCACCAGTGTCCTCCCGAGGCGCGCTGCCGACGGGGCGCGCCGCCACCCGGCACGCGGTCGCCGGCCCGCCAGCATCACCGCCGACCGATGCCTTTTTCAAAGAAGAGCCGCTTTCCTCAGTGGCGGCAGCAGAAGAGGCCGCAGGTGGCGGGGACCCGGAGCAGGGCACAGAGACGTTGCCCCCCGCCGCGCCTCAAACGCCGACCTAAGCCGGACGTCTCGGCGAGCCGGGCCCGCGTCGCGCGGCGGAGCGCGCAGGCTGGACGGCCAGGCGGGGCGCGGGCGTCGCCGGGTGGCAGCCGTTTCTGCCGCCGGGTGAGCTCCGGTAATGATGATGGAGAATGATGGAATGATGATGCCATGGAGCCGCGGATGCGGCTCCATAGCAGAAAACATCTCTGCAGATGCGCCGTGCAGATGTTGGTGGCGAACGCCCTCTGGGCTCTGCATCAGGCGCGGATACAAGGGGGGGCCATGGGGGCCATGGCCCCCCTTGGCCGATTTTTTTCAAAAATAAAATAAAAAGTTAAAAAATTAAAAAGCTGAAAAGGGGGCCTCCTGAAAATAAAGTGGCCGAAATCCGATGAGTTTTTTTTAACCTACCCACTTAGTTATTTCTTAGAAGACTACACCTTTTTTCGTCCGAATTCACAAAGATGAAGTCCAAATTCACAAAGCTGAATTCCAAATTCACCAAGCTGAATTCCAAATTCACAAACCTAAATTACGAATTCAAAAGTCAAAAGTCCAAATTCACAAACAAAAAGTTGGAATTCAAAAAGATAAGATCGAATTTCAAAAAGCAAAAATGTGATTTCAAATAAGTAACAAGCAATTTCACAAACCAAAAATGCAATTTCAAAAAGATAATGCTGGATTTCAAACGTTGTTTCTTGTTGTTTTCTGATGATATGTTACCTAGCTCTTTTAACATATACCTACAATTTAAAATGACAAAATATTTTGTTTTTTTCGGATGTAAAAATAATGTTCCTATATCTTCAGAATTTGTCGGTTTTAGCTTATAGTGGATACCTAATAACGTGATAATGAGCAGAGTGGCCATCTGCAGGCACTGATCTCGTTGAAATAAATGCAAGGCAACGGACGGACAGTTTTATTTGCGACTTAGACAAAAACAACGCAAAGCTGCTTGTCTTACAACGCCGTAGGGCACGTTTGGAACTAAGCCACTACAAATCAGAAACATATCTTGAACCTCCATCACTCTCACACGCCCATCGCCAGGTCGGCCAGGGCCACGCACCCGGCATAGTGGCGCTGGACGTGATTGG